AATTGAGAGATTTAAGCTTAGTTGTAAGACCAAATGGCAAGTTTTTATTGTGATTGATCCTCTAATTTACAAGTAATGACGTCATGTATGTCTCATTAGGAGAGATGAAATCTTATGTTAATATCTGAGAGGTGTGCTCAGGTTTCATCTTGACGACCACAAACTAAACATTATTAGCAATCGAGGGGTTGTTTATTGTCTCCTCAGCAGTGTTTACGTGTTTGTTGTAAGAGAGGGTGGTGTTAACAGAGGAGAGGAAGTTTAATGTCAGGGGACGAGCAGGGAGGGGTAAACCAAGGAGAGCTTTATACTCCAGGGATTCGACCTCTTCATTTAGATTTCCTTGCTTTAGCAGTGTGGGAAAATGTCAGACTCCAGTGAACTCTTCCCTGCCTCACTCAGGCTCTACTTTTTATGTTTACGATCTCTGTCCCTGTGTATTTATTTCTCCTTCATCTCTAAACTGTTTGTTTTACTCTTGGTGTCTTAATGAAGGGGAACACATCTTCAAAACCAGAGGGGTTCATGCCATCATAACAGTGAGCATCTACCATGCTAAAGTGTCAAAGGTGGTGAATTTACACAAGCTTCAAACAGTGACTTCTCCCTGACCTCTGACCTCCCTTAAGGGGCTAACAAATAATAAGAGCATCTGGGTTAAAGTCTCTATTTCTGACATTACATGACATGTTGCAAAGACAAACGCGACAGTTTCAAAGAGACAACGAATGAATACAAAGAGGATAAAGCCAAGTGAAGAAGACAAAATAAAGAGGAAATGGTGTAAGACAGTAAACACCCGTTTGACAGTCATGTGAGGAGATAAAGAAGAGGAGAAACGGAGCTCATTAGCCCTGGCCTACACCCAACTCTGACTCCAGTGTTATCAAGAGGTTTGCTGTAATTAATCCAGATAATCCTGACAGCCTTGAATAAATGCAGGGTGTGATGCATGGGCCTCACTGTGATTAAAACTGGATGATAGCCATCGGGTCAATGGGTTGATTATAGGAGCCCCCAGTGGTACTTGAACTTTCACCTTCGGACTGAGAGGGAGAGATGAGAATCAGTGAAATGTGCCACTGTTCCAACACGAGAAGGATGGCGAGGGCTAAAAGACTTCTAAAACTTAACTCTAAATTATACTCACTGATGTAAATACAAAACAACATGCAACTTAACTCAAATCTAGTCTATAAAGCCTAATGGCGTGTGGTGCAGTGAATGGTGCGTTGGTGTTCGGATCAGGGTTCAGGTTCAAACCCCACTGCAGTCAGCATGTCGTTGTGTCCCTGGGCAAGACACTTCACCCCAAATTGCTCCTGTGGGGATTGTCCACAGTATTGAGAAGGTAAGTCACTTTGGATAAAAGCGTCTAACAAGTGACATGTAATGTAATGTAATGTAATGTAATGGGAACCGAAAATAAAACGTTGGAAAATAAAACTTAAATACTTTTTAAAGTTCACAGCAGCAGAGGAAACAGACGTGTTTCAGCACTAACGTTTCTTCAGTGTTTCTGAGACAATTGTGGGTGTGACCTCTCTTAATCCTCTTTTCTTTATTGTTGTATAACATTCAATCAAAGGGGACTTAATGTGGCTTTTTTAAACCAACATTTGAAATGTTATTCTAACGGATAACAAAGTAATCTACCTTTCGTAGAGTATGCCTAAATCATCACTGTTGCAGATAATTGGTTTAAGAAGTCACATATTTAGTTTATATCTGCATTTGGTACCTGAGTCGGTACTGTGGGGAAACCAAACCATGACATCAATACTTTATGTACGGTTTCACTCGAGAAGAATGAAAAAGAAAATGAACCCACTATAAATACAAACAGCTTTTTTATTAGCTGTTTAAAGTTTTAATTAGCTTAGTAACTATGTGCAGTCTAACAGGCCGAAGAAACACCTTCTGAATAGGAGAACACGCTGAATATCTTGATTCAATGACGCTCTCCAAAGACTGATGTTTTCCTTTTAAAAGTCTTCTCAGAGATAACCTTACAAGGGAAACAAAGTGTAAAGTAAACTTCAAGGCTTGTGTCATAACAGCAAGTATTTGTTTAGTACAATACTTCAGCAAAAATGTATTTAATTGACAATTGTTGATCTCAAATTCCAATCCAACAAAAACATGCAAAAGTTCTCAGTCATAGTAAAGATTGCAATAACATACTTTTAAACTATTGAGTAGCTCCTCAGGATTGTGAAAACTAATAATTATAATGAAAATTAATGAGAATATATTAAAGTTTAAACATATATAAAACAGTCCTCAACATGTACTACAAAATCACAGTAGTACTGTGGTAGTATTAAGTTATTCATATTGCATGTAGATCTGCTGACCGTTCAAAAAGCCATTAAGTATTCACAGCTTTTCAAAGTAACTGTTTTAGCGTGCAAAAAGGGCGCAGTGAATCAGTTAAATTCACATATGGGGTTTTATTTTAATAAATATGATTCATCTGGTTAGCATTTAACCATTTTACTAATAATAAACCAAACAAATAATAAATTAAGTGGATTTTGTCCACTTAAATGCCACTTATTTGTCAGTTAAACCCTTACATGTTCAGTTATTAACGTACAATTATTTTTAAAATGTACCTTATTACCATACATCTTGAGTTGATCTCATGCGAGCAGGTGTTATAAAATGCTTAACATCTGATTTGGAAAGGAAACTATTTCTTACACTAGCTTGTAAATTGAGATGAATGTCATTATGATTAATAGATAATAGAGCTCATTTATAGCCAAGAGGTGTTGATTGAGATAGATTCCTGGGTGACTTCTTTCTGACACTCTCAGCCAGTGTTGCTCTCATCACAGAGGCTCCTCAGGGCGCTCAGGCTGTGCATACAGATGGGTGAGATGATCTGTCCTGCCCACGCGATGTGTAGCACAGAGTGATGAATCATGATCCTCCTGTGATGTCAGACAGTCAGCTGCTGCAGTGATGCTCCACAGTGAAGCTCCACTGCCCCCTGCTGGTCAGAGCTGGGCCTCCAGTTACAGCTGAACGGTCTGATGGAGATCAAGCCAAAAACAGAGATAAATAGTTGGTAAAAGCCTGTTATCTATTGGTTCTAGCTGTATGTATCCCTTTGTTGATCACAAATGTTTTGGCTCTATTTTATGTTTTGCTCTCTTATTGAGGACTATCATTTAATGTATTGTTTCCGGTAATGTGATGTTTTTGGAAACCCGAAGGAAGATGTTTACACAAATTACAATTAAACACAATCGACACATGTTTTTTGAAACGGTTTTTACACTGAACGCCCTTAAAGGTCCCCTATTCTACTGTTTTTCATCAATATATTATAGGTCTCAGATACAGTGCATCCGGAAAGTATTCATACCCCTTCACTTTTTCCACATTTTTGTATGTTGTATGCTTTTGTATGACATTTTTGTCATTGTGGGGTATTGTGTGTGTAATGTTGAGAATTTTTTTTTTTTTTAATCCATTTTGAAATAAGGCTGTAACATAAGAAAATGTGAAAAACCTTAAGGGGTATGAATACTTTCCGGATGCACTTTATATACAAAACATGTCTCTGAAGTGTTTGGCTTGAAATACCAAACATATCATGCATCAGCATCCCATAAACCCCTCTGTTTCAAAAGTGCTGATACTTTAGATGAAAATAAGGAGCCACTCCCCACGCCCCTCTGAGAGATATTTGGTTAAAAAGAACACAATGGTGCTCTAGGAGGAGATTCAGGTGATAGGGGGGGGGGGGGGGGGTTACCTTGGTTGGTTATTGGCTAATGGTTACACAAGCCAAAAAATCGTTATGACATCATAAAGTGGCCAAAATCCGATCAGCTCATTTTCAGACAAGTTTTTATATAAATGGATCAGGACAACAAGTGAGAGAATCTCTTTACACAGAGGGGAAACATGTTTATGTATAAAATACATGAAAAAGTGGATTTTGCATAATAGGTGACCTTTACATTTCTCTCACTGTCTTTTCTGAACATACCTGTATTTATCCTTTCCCTGATACACCTGGCATACCGCCGGGAACTCTGAGCCTCCTGAAGAAGCTGCTCAGTTGGCTCTGATTGTCTTGCAAGAAAAACTGAAAAGGTTAGTACTCAAGACATTTGTGGAGATCAAATCTAAATGGCATGTTTCAAATCTAAATGGCATGTTTTCTGAGCAAGGCAGCCATCCTTAAACTGACTGAGTTTGTTTTCATCCTTTACTTGTTGACCTAGGAATATCATGTAGGGTGCAAAGTATAATTCAACTTAATTTAATTATTAATAGGGAAAAAGTATAGAATTTTAGAGGCATTTTCACAGCCAGTAAAATATATTTTACAGTGGATGCCATGATGCCATGAATATGTTGTATATGCTCACTGATGTCTGACTATTTCTACTGCAGCATTAAAGCTTTAATCCAGACGTCAGACTCTTGCCCTCCTTCACCGCTGACATCGCTGACCAATGAGAGCTCAATATTTTAGGAAGTTTTGTCACTGCTTAGCCATCAGCTTCCAGCAGAGAGATTCACAGGCTGTGAACTAATGGAAATAACTGAGGGGAAGATTGATGAACTCCCTGCTTCACTCATTCTACCCGAGAAGGAAAGTTATGAGGACATAGTCAACACTTAATTATGTGTAGTATTCTCAGGGAGTAAAGGAAAAATAACATTTCCTCATGTGTGAGGCAGCATATACTTGACAGACACAGAAAGACTTTACTTAAGTTCTGGTCTTGTCAGTGTTTACCCTCCTGAATAAACAAGCCCGCCTCAAGAAAGATGTCAGGAGACACTGAGAGACTCAGCTAAGCAAACTGGGAAATTAAAACATGTTATTGTTGTTTTAAGATATCACTAGAAGAAGGAGATGACTTACATGAAGCAGCTCTCGTGTTGAAGTGAAGCTGGAGAGGCTAACAGCGTTTGGTGAAACCATTAGGCCGAAGTTAAAGTGTAAATCCAGTGGAAAAAATTATTCTCGAGACTTTTTCATTTACTTTGATAGTGCTTTGCCTTTGGAAAAGAAAACCAGGGAGTTGGGTGTGTCGTATCAGATTTAAATCATTAGAATTATTGGACTTAAATATGTTTGTAGAGTTCCAGCTCCGCCTCAACCCCAGCTATAACAGTAAAAAAATAGTCACACAAAGAAAATGTAGCTATTTCATAATATATATCGAAAGGGACACTTTTTCTGCAGAAAGACTACTTAACTTTAAAATAAATGTGTACACACTAAAAGACCACAGTGAAAACAAAAAATAAATGTGATAGGAGAGGTCAAGAATCTAATTTCAATTTGCTGATAATCAACTTCAGTAGGGATTTGTAGGAATTGTGTTTTTACACTGTTTTTTTTGGTACTAATAGTAAAGGAGTACTTTTTAAGTATTTATGTAAGGTACTGTAAATGTATGTACATGCATATATAATAAAACAGAAGTGTCCACAGGCAGGTATGTTATGTGAAACTGACACAGATATCAAGTTTAAAAATTGAAGCTCAAATTGTAGAACTCACTTACTATAAGTATAAAGCGTGCATTGCTATTTATGGTAACATAAATATCAGTCACTTGTGTTTTCAAAACACAATGTTTTTTTATGTTTGTTGTGCAGATATTATTGAGGAAAACAAAAGTGCAATACAAAACATAAAAGTGGTTTGAACTTGTAGGCTGTTGTTGGCTGGAGGCCGTTATTCAAACATCTGTTACAAGATTGAAGTGTTGCAGCAGTTTAAAGGCTGCAGATAAAGAACAGACACTGAATAAACAGCACATATGCCTCACACTTCACCAGTAAGGCATGTGCCATTAAAGTAACAAAGTCTGGAGTGTATTATACTCATTACACAAATACAGATGTATCAAGTCACTGCCTATCCAGAACTATTCAATTAGAAAACTGAAAAAGGAAAATAAAAGGCAGGTTGTGTCATTTCCCAAAGTAGAATATGACTTTGTTTTGTTCATAGGCACGTGTCATGCAAACACAGCAGAGTTTTTCCAGTCTGAGTAGACCAGGAAGCCATTGAAGGTGCTGTCTGTCTTTGTGCTGGAGTAAAATCCATTGTACTCCGAGAGAGCCATCTGGACCCACACCTGGTCCCCGGGGATGAGGTGGAGCAGGGAGCCGCCCGACAGAGACGCTGGTTTAGGCCAGTTGCCGTAGTACTGAAAGTAAGATGCCACAGTGTGTGCGTTCTTCATCAGGTCAAACTGCAGGCTGGCTCGGTACACTGTGGCGTGGACTGCAAAGTAGTAAACTCCTGGCACTTTGCAGGTGAAGCGTCCCGTCTCCGTGTTGTAGTCGCTCTGTTCATTGATCACAACCTGGTCAAAACGGACCACATCGCCCACAGTGAGGGGTAGAGCGTGGCCCTCGGAGAGTTTGACACTGAAGGCAGATTTTGGGGCCACTGCACACTCTCCTGCCTGACCCCTCTCCCCCTTTTCTCCATTATCACCTCTGTCCCCCGTCAGGCCTCGCACTCCTGTCTCACCTGGAGGAGCACAGACATCAGAATTAACTTCAGATATGCCTCACATAACAGAGGTGGGACCAAGTCACAATTATTATATAAAGTGGTGTGTCTTACTCGTCAAGTGTCGTAATACAATGCTGCATTGATTTGGAGTCATTGGGTTGAATGGCATTGAAGCCATTGATACGACTTGAGACCTTTTAAAACAGAAACTGCTAAATCTTTATAACAATATTCAGGTCAAAAGGAAAAAGCAATAAAATCCTATTAAAATTGGTGCATATTTCTTGCCCAGTGTAGTAGTCATATGGACTGGGAGTCAATGGTTCACCTGAAAGGGAAGCTGTTGAAAAGAATTTAGACTATTCATCAAAAGAATGTAGAACCTTCATTAAACTATTCATAATAAATAGAAAAAGCACTAATATCCAATATGAAGAGGTAGGTCCTTCTTGTTACAAGGCTGCATTGACTTGCAGTCATTGGGTCACATGATCAAAACAGCTGTGCCACAAAAGATACATGTGTTATAACTTGCTGGTATGGAATAGTTTTATTTTAACAATTCAAAATGAAGGGAAATTAATTAAATTGTGGTACCCTTATTTTAATCTTCAGACTTGGGGGAAGTGATCATGTACTTTCAAGTCTTAAGCCTCATTAGTGTAGTCGTCCAAGTCGAGTTATAAGTCTTTACATTTGTGACTTCAGTCGGACTGGAGTCCACACCTCTGTCACATACTCGAACATGAATAAATTAAATAAAGCACCTGGGTCTCCTGTTTCCCCTATCAGTCCCTTCTCCCCCGCAGCAGCGTCCCTCCCGTCCCTCCCGTCTCTTCCTGGCTGACCCGGACCACCATGAGCTCCAGCAGAGCCGGGGATACCGGGGTGACCAGTGCACAGACTGGGGGGGATCTTGTTGTCTTCTAACTGGTCTGAGAGATGAACTTGGAGGAGAAGGAGGGAGTGCAACAGAGGCAACAGCCGGAGCGAGGACATTGCAGCGTCAGGGCTGAGGGACAAAAGAGAAAAAGGGTTTAGACAGGGTTAAGATAAAGGAAATATGAAGGTTTACAAACGAGTCTGTGGAAGAGAAACACCAACGTTTAGACTGTACAACATACAATGGGAAAATAGTGATGTGTTTAAGCTAAAGAGCACCACAAATGCCACTATAAACATCACTGCAAATCAACTTCATCAGATCACAGAAGCTGGGAAAGCACATATAAATATTGAAATTGCAGCGTATTTAATCACACAGTGTAACAACATAATTTAAGTCTCAGTTTACCTCTTTTTGTCAATCACTCTGTGGCACAGGATTACAAAAGCTATACTTGAGATGCAGTTAAGTAAATGGATCAAATGAATGTAAATTATTATAATACTCATTTATATTTTTTTATATGAAATGCCTCAGGCAGAACGAGGTCAAAGTAAAACTGAAATTACCTTATTATATTACTGAGCCGGCATTACTCATTATATGTCAGTCCTGCCAAAACTCATAGGAAACCAGTAATTTCAAACAGATGACTTGTGAAAGTGTCCAACTCCACTCAGGTATCTTAATTAAATCTATCAGCTTTAAAAATATTAAAACATGCTTATAATTGGAGAGCTTTTCTCGGATTTGACTGTAGACACACTGACATGGAGCTTGTGTTTATTATCACAGGTGTAGTTATGTTTCCCCCAGCTTTCTCTGATAAAAGGTTGAGAGTTATGATAGTGAAAACAGCATGCTCTGTTTCAGGGAAGCCTTTGGCGGGATGTAATGGGGAGAACAATTAAATAGAATTTACCAGAAATGGAATAAAATTAAACCAAAAATAGATTTGAGCCCAAATGCATTTGACTATATATAATGTTATATTATACATTGGTGTAATTGCAGAGTACACAATTAGAGTTAATAAAGTTTTATGCGAAATATTCGTTTTTTCAAATAAGGAGGCTAATATAACACTAATTCTTGGAGCCATATCTTTTTATATCTTTAAAAACAAAATAAGGCACTCTTAGTTTCTATGCAGATTTCACTAGTAAAAATGCGATGTGATGCTGAATACCAGACAGACTTCTCAGAAACAGTTACTCATAAAAGTTAAAATAAGTAACCTCAAATGTTCTCTTTCCATCTGCTTCTGTTTCCTGTTTGTGTATCATCAATTCCCAGATGTACCGGACAGTATAACAGACATGAACTGTAGTGCTACCTAACCTGTATATAATCAGTATCTGGTTTCACACCCCCCTACATTATTTTCCTGCATGGATTTTGTTTATCTCTCCTTCCCTGTGGCCTTGTCCGGCCGTCTGTCTGGCAGCATGGCGGCGTCACAGGACCATAGAGAGAACTGATGAGCCGAGCAGGAGCTCTGCTACCAGCTCTCTCGTGGACTCCATGTTTATGGGTAAAAACCCGCTGTTTGCGGTGTGAGACAATCATGAGAACAGTAAATAGTGCTTTGTCATCTATCTGGAGGTCCACTTATTGTTATTGAGAGGCTACAACCACAACAGCTGCAAAATAACAGAGAGACACAGGAGGAGGGCAACAAGAAACAGAAAGAAACAGAAAGAGAGAGAAAAGCATGTCAGCGTTCCTGGCAGAAGAGCAGAGCAGACAGAGGACACATAATGGAGAGTCCGAACGACTGTCTGAACGACTGCTTTAGGCATGAATTTATGAAGAAAACCAACATGAGATGCATTTATGTTTACTTATAGGTGGAAAACAGACATATGAACTACAACACACTTCTTTAGACTTTGTACCACTTGGAAGTTAGTTGTTTTCTGAAGTACTGTATCGTACAATTTTTAGGCCACTAATTTACTTTTTAAACAATACATTTCAGAGAGAATTATTGTACTTTTTACTCCACTCATTTAATCATCACTGACAGCTTTAGTTGCCTGCTTACTTCATATAGTAAGATTGTTAGATTATAATAAGGACTCATGAATGTGATAGATTGATTTAAGAAAAAACAATCCAACAATATATGCTAGTTAAAATTGGGTCCACATTGACCAGCTACAATATCTAAATAGTACTTAACCTTGAATACATCAGTAACACTTTTTTAACTTAAAGTATGAGTTTGTATGCAAACGTTTTATTGCGGTTGTGCTACATGTACAAAAGGATCTGAATACTCCACTGCCTTAATGTTTTAAACATTACACAGCAGTCAGTCTACGCTACACTATGATGCACTTTCTGGTAATTTAGTTCTTACTGGTTGCTCTGAAGGAAGGCAAAAAGATGGCAGTACTGCTGTTACCAACACTAAAACCTTCAGGCATATCTCAGCTCTGCACATGTGTAGATCAGCTGTGTAAATAAAACCTCAGGCAAATATCAAAATGACTTACCAGATGATGTAGTATGAAGTCTTAGGGGAGCCGCTGCTGAAGTGTGAGAGTCCAGGAGAGAAGTGAAAGTCGTCCCTCCCTTCTTGTGTCTGCCTGGGAAAAACTGGAAGGAATGGTAATAAAATCCAATTAGAAACTGGGGTGGGTGGGAAAGGAGGAATTGAGGGTGGAGGAGAGAAAACAGGGTGGAAACAGAGGAAAATATGTGATGGTGATCCAGCACAAATAGAAGAGAAACATTTCAAACAAAAGTGTTACAAAATCGATATGAGAAGGGGATAAGGAGGGATGTTTAGGACATTGCATACCATTGTTTGGGAAACTCTCCAAGACTTAACCACAGAAAGTTCAGAGGGCTGTGGACAGAAAAGGGAAAATATCCCAATACCAAACACAGCTGAGAATGTGCTTGCTTTATAACACAAAAACTTGTTTTGAAGACGGACTGAAAAGTAAGATCCAGAGAGATAAATACAGATATATTATGACATAAAAGCAAACAGACACAATCACGTTTTCTTCCCTGTGATTTTCTTAATCTGCCTGCAGGATGAGGCAATTTGCTTCTTCAAGATAACATCTTCCTTCACTATCAGTCTTGCACTCAGGCTCAGTAATCCTCTTCTCCCTGAAATCCTTCAGTGGCCGTGTTAAATTGATAAAGCGAGAGCTCTTAATATCTTTTTGGCAAGGAAGCCAAACTTGAGCTCTTTAATTCAGCAGCTCCCTTAAATTCAGGCCAATGAAAACATGTTTGGACTGTAATCGCACAGCAGTGACCCACAGCACACCAGAACTGTGCCAAGCCTGTCCTATTTCTGAGGAAGAACAGAAAACAGACAATAAGCAGGATGAAAGCTTGCAGCAGGACTGTGTGTAGTAATTTACAGGGGGCAGACATTACATTACAATATTTTACAGGTTTACATTTGATTGTCTTACTTTAGAATACAATTTACTTATTGCATGTTTGTTTTAACATTACATCCAACTATCACTTTTTAGAGGACAACCTTGGTCAGCTAACACTATCGTCCGGACAAAAGTATAAAAAACTATTTTATGGATTAAATAGACATGTTGTTTTAAGGATCAATTCAAAATACTTAAAGTGGACCTATCATGCTATATTTGAATAATATATTGTAGGGCCATACCTATATAAGGTATATTTAATATTTATACGTTTTGTTTTTCAAAATACCAAACAGATCATGCATTTTAGCCATGCCTCATTTCGCTCTATTTTGCTCTCCTCCACCCTGTCTTTGCATGCGCTGCAGCTGACCACGCCCCCCCTGCAAGGGGCCGAGTTACGAGCGTCGTGTTACCATGCTGTTACCATGCTGTTACCATGCCACGGCAACCTCTCATTCCCCTGATAGGTCAGCTCCTCCATCCTGACATCAGAGAAATGTTCAAATCTGGATCTGTATCAGATCCGTTGCAGCCCCGTTTTTAGAGATTTGGGTATGGAGGAAAATAGAGAGGGTTGTGTTTTCTGACACTTGGTGAGTTCCCTGGAACACCGGGGACACATATTCATGTATAAAAAGACGTACAAAAGTGCATTTTGCATGATAGGTCCCCTTTAAGTATATTTAATTGGTCCCATAACTTTTCATTTACCGCCATCATGTAAAAAAAGGATTTATATAAGCAGCAGTTGTTGCTTGGTGTTTTGCACCAATTAGCAAATGTTAGCATGCTAACACACCAAATAAAGATAAACATGCATGGCGAACATTATATCTGGCTAACTTTAGCATGTTAGCATTGTCACTGTGAGCGTGTTGGTATTTTGATGTTAGCATTTAGCTCAAATATAGCCTAACAGAGCCAAAACACTTTTGTTTTAATCAGTAAGTTTACACATATAACTTTGTGCTAATTTGACAAAAGATGACTCTCACGTGAATATGAGCTTTGTTTAACGGTTGTCTGGAAAACATGACATAACATACGTTTGTGAAACACACATCTCTGGCTACATTAAATTAATTAATTATCTGTCTTATTATTCTGGTAGGTATATTGGACTGAAACACCATGTGCTATTCGAAAAGCTTGGTGAAGGAACAAGGTAGTTTGCACGTCTCTACCCAAGTGTGGGCAGTATAGATGTTGCATGGATTTACATGAGGCTTATAAATCACGGAAAAAAACTTCAAAAGTAAAAAACGTCTTTTCTCAGGGGAGCAATGTTAACGCCAGAGGGCTGGATTTCCGAGCTGTGGTTATAGTTTAGAAACTACACAGTAAATCATTGCATTTACATCGATTCATCTTTAAATGTTATTCACTCTATTGAGGCAATTCGAAAGATATAATATTGTGAATAACAGCACACACCCTGTTTGTGTCATATGTTTCCCCTGAGAGCAAAGAGTGCAACTGCCCTGGCTGAACACATGGGTCTGCTTAGTGTTTTTTTAACGTTAAAACGCTGGTTTTATGGGAAAGAGATGAATGGGAAGGAGGAGTATAGGGGGGGTCAGAAGCTCCTTTAAACAAGAACTGACTTTCCTTTGAATTTGACTCACCAGGCTGTTGTGAGGAGGGGTTTTCAGCGAGCTCCTGTGGAGGCAGTGAGCTGAAACTGAGCCATGCAGCGGAGTTAAAACATGTTTTTAATTACAAGACTCAGCACATTCTGGGACAGCTACATTCATTTCCTGTAAGAATCCATAAACTGCTGCCCTGAGGATTTACTGTTAATACAGAGCACTTGGCAACTCGCAATATAAAATGATTTATCATGGGTGGTGGTGATGAATTTGTAGCAAACGTATGATTGGGTTAACTGAATAAAAAGGCATAAAAAAGTCCTTCCTTTCGCAAAAAAACTGTGAACTTATGCAATTATTTCCCACATCTAGATGTTGAACACAAAAAAAGAACACATTAATGAGCCCAGAAATAACTTGCTCCAATAAATTAAACATATAAATAAAAATGAATGAGATGCAAGTTTGTATGTGGTTAATCTGATCTGATATTATACCATTGTTTATAAAAACTCACTATAATACAATTCAAATATTCAAACATAGGGTTATACTAAAAAAGTAAACAGTAAAAAGAAAAGAAAAAGCTAGAAAACGGGTTGGTGTGCCTTACCTGGAAACAGCTCTTGAGAATACGGTCCATTTGATGCAGCTTCAGTTCCTTTGAATGTTCTAAAAGCTTTTTAAGGAGTTCTCATCCTGTCGGCTTAAAACGATCTGCTAATGAGGATCATGTGATCAAACCACCATGTGGTCAAAACCTCCAGAAGAGCGATTTAATTTTCCTATTATTGTTTTCTAAACCACATATCCTCCAAGCCCAGGGGAACACTTCTCTCAAGAGACGAGGAGAGGAGCAATGTGATCAAAGGTTGCAAATGAACTTTTGTAGTTTGTCAGTTTTTTTAGACATTTTGATGAAAGACCGTCAAAAAGCAGACTGATGTTTCCAGCATCCAGAGAGCAGAGATTTCATCGAATCCTAGCACCTAAACAATTCAATTGAATATATATTTTTGTTAGATATAAATTAGCTAGACAGTGCTGGAATTTTTCAAGATAATATATGTTTTTTATCATTCATTAAACGAAGCAAGAGACAAAAAAGAGTAAAGGAGACATGTTTATTATTTAAACTATCACTTAAATAAAAAAGTGCATAGAAAATAAACATGATTAGAAACTTTTTTCTTTTTACACGTATTTACAACTTTGTTTCCTAATTATACATTCAACCAAGTAGTTTGTGGTCTGTTTTACTGTGGTAGTCATCCTTCATTTTGTTGATGTGTATTGAAAGAACACTTTTTAAACGGGAGAAAATATGATGTTGAAATCATGAATACCGTTATTACGGAGAGCAGGAGGAATATTGATAAGACAAAGGTATATTCAAGGCATAAGAAACAAGCCTGTTCATGACCCATGATCCCTCTCTTTCGCACGTCCTACCGCCACTCGCTCTGTGACACCACATCCCATAGGCTGATAACTTCTATACACAAGAAACAATTAGAAAATTACAAATACGTACTCATCCGACCTCTCCCAAACTTTAACTTGTAAAAGAACAATTCAGGGTGGATGTTGCACAAAATAAATAAATAAAAAGTTTTCAACATCAGCATTATGACTTTCTATAAAAAAAAAAAAACAGTACATGATAAGTACAACCAAAGCTTCGGAGGAGAGAGAGGTGGGAGACATGAGAGGTTTTCCAAAATGGAAAAGACTGCATTTTGGTAAGATCTTTAAAACTTCTGGTGAGTCTCCACTGAACCAAACTCTTAATTTATACCACATCAAGTAAGCCTTCTAAAAAAAAGTCCCTGTTAAAACGTACAAAGAAAAAAAAACATTCACTACATCAACCAGAGGGGATAAAAACAAAATGGCTGACCTCAAGAAGTTTACAACCACATTAATACAGTTACATTTCTCATCACATAAAAACCGATCCTTTCCAGAAACAAAAGTGAAAAGAAAAACTGCAGTGCTCCTCGTGATGGAGGAACGTTCGCAGGCACAGCAAAATTGGTACTGGATATCAAGATACGAAAGAATGATGCACGTTAAGTTTCATCTGATAGTACTGTAACACAAAACCATTATAGAGTACATTGAAACATTGCTATTAACCATTATAAATCTGCTGTTTTGCTACTGTAACTAAGTTTGTCTGTCCATTCCATATATTGTATAGATACTAAAGTACAAGAAATTACTATGCATGTTTCCGTATAATATTGTTATGTATTTATACTATAATTACAGATAATGACGAAGAGCCACTGGTGTGGCGTGGTAAAATGAAATCCAGAGAAACAACAAACACCATTTCCTTATTGTATATATGCTGTTAAACAGTGGAGTAAATGACTTATTGTTCACCGAAGTGGATCTCGAGGAGTGAGAGCCGTACAGAGCCCTTGGCATCAGTTAACGTGTTCGTATCACCGATGCTGGCGAGAAGTATTGAGCTAACCCAGTGAGAACATGTTGTCCCACAGACAGAAACGCCACTGCTGTTTACACTTAATTATTATTCCCAGTGCTGAAATTAAACCGCTGCTGCCGCCCAGTTTGAGGTCATATCTACATATCGTCCATATGTACCAAGGTTGTTGACGCAAGAACTGAAAACAAATGTAGCTGACAAAGTATCACAAGTCTGGTGTTGTGGAGAAGGAATATACATTCATAGTTGACCTTAGCAGCTGATCCCAGCGAGCCCGATGAAGGTGCAGCTGTACAACCACCGGCCCGTCAGTCACCTCATGACCTGATCTGGGGCCCTAAATGGAAAAGCCTAGCCGAGGTTTGTACACGCTGCACCTTCAGGAAGGAAGGGCTGCTGGAGTGGTCCCTGCCTTCACTTTGTTGCAGAAAAAGAGTCAAGTGCACTTTGCTAGAGCCTCAAACGCTTATCATAAAGAGTAATTCAAGATGACCAAACTCAGTTTTATTCCCACGGCCTGATGCACAAACTCTAAGTATTTTCAGTGACTATCTGTGCTTGTGGTTTTCAGTATTGGAGTTGCATTGTCTGGAGAGAGGGTTGTCCTATGTGTGTTCAGTGCCCGTGTCACAGCTAAAGTGCAAACCGTGTGGATCATACTTTTGTTTTAGGAAGAAGTGTGGGAGGAACTGCTAACGGCCTTTAGGTGATGACAAAGTCAGCGTGAATGACGGACAACAATAAATTAGTTAAGAAAGGACAAAAACAAAGACTTAAGTCGCATAGTGGAACCTGCCAGTCTAAACAGTCTGATCAAATATTCGGTCCGGGACATGAAGGCTTGTCAGAGAGACGAGGCATGCTCATTTTCAACTAAGGCAAACCACAGGGAGAGTGAGAGAGAGGATAAGAAGTGATTTCTTGATGGAAGTGGTTTCTTTAATCAACAGATTGGCTCGACGGGGTTTTAGTGAATGCTGTTGGTAGCATTAAAATAAAGGCACCTCTTTATGATACGTCTGCAGAGGGATAAAACAGTTTGATGGGACTTAAGTTTTAAACGTGACAAGAGAAACATTTTGTTAGGACTGCCTTGGAGCGGCCGGTAAGTGGACTTGATTCTCGGTGTGGTGTGATGTGGTGACAATAAGGCTGGAGAGAGGAGATATCTGCTATGGATCAACAATCTTTGCTCTCTTAAGTGCATAATAATAGTTCACGACTGCCATACTGCCAGCTAGAACTGGGACAAGGAAAATAACCGTCAGCTCTGAACAAACTGCCCGCGATAGATAAGAGAGCTACTGGTGGACTGAACTCAACGGGACCAAGCCACAGACCAGTGTCAGTCTTTGGAATCAAAGAAAACATTCAGGCTACAAAGAAAACAAAGAAAAAACGAAATTACAACAAAAACAACTTCGAAAAGGCAGCGGAATACAAAACATAGAGACCGAGCATTAGTGTCTGTAAACCTCTATTTCCTACAAAAATGGCAACAAAATAAATACGATTCTTAAAAAATATAAATACCATCATTTAGTGCTATTCACTAGTGAGTGCTTTTTAAGTCTTTTTTTGTAGAAAAATATACATTATTTACATTTGTTTTTTCAAAGCAAGCATATTTTCATGTCCATTATAAAAAAGACAAGATAAACAGACAAGAGTTTAAAAGACGTAATACAAATAAAAAAAAACATTTTCCATAGTAATGGTTATCACAACAGGCCAAGAAGAAATCCAGCTGTGTGAAAATTCAATTCAAGGGCGTGATGTTTGGTTCTCTCTGCTGCTGTAATTTGGAACGAGACTCAAAAGTCAGAGCTTATATAATAATTACATAAAGCACGTTTGATAATAACAACAGCATGGATCTGTATGTTTCTGTAAGATCTGCTCCAAAAGATTTTAAATACGTCTACTAAAGCACATCAGTAGGGTTCTCCAGTCCCTTGGCTGTCAGTCCACCAGAATCTCTAGCTGCCTCGCTCTGTCATGCCAGAGGCTTAATCCCACCGATAACATGTCGACATATCTGTCAGACCAAAGTCAATTTAAGTACAACGGATGCTATCGACCTCAGATATCATCCCATACAGGAACGGCCAAAAATAACGTTTTTCTTTTTTAAACAAATCTACATTTCTACCCGCTTGTCTCTTTTTTCTCTCTTCCTTTCTGTGGCCACAGCTCCCCCTGCTGTTTCGACCGGTACAGCTCCTGTCAGGCTGCTCACTGAAAAGCAGCTCCTATTTACAGTGTTAATGTACACACCTAGGGGAAGGTTCCTGTAAATCACAACAGCTCTGAAGGCATCAGCACATATTCAGACAGGGAGATGTGCATCAATAACATCCGACACTCCAATATAAATAAAAAAAAGATTTTAACAATTTTTCTTTCTAGTAAAATATCTCTTCCCAGTCCCTTCAACAAATTGCACTTTGGTGTAAAACGGAACCGAGTTTTTCACATCTCAGCATTAGTGGACCGTAAAATATTTTTTATAAAATTAAGGAGGATGGGCCAATGTAAAAAATATGAAGGGGTAACTTTATCATCCAAATGTAAATTAAAGTTAATATTGCAATGCTATGAAGGCCAAACTGTTTCATGACTCACCTCTGAAGGTGATCTCCCCATGCCAACTGTTAATGAGACAAAAGGAGGCACAATATGTTGGAATCTCTACAAGTGGCCCCTCCTCCAAAATGGCCCTTCCTATTTGTACAGTACGACCCGCGGCCGCTGCCAGTGTTTCCTGCCAACACGTGCAGCAGAAACACTCTCAAAGCTCGCGCCCTGATGGCAGCGGTCCTACGCAGGCCGGACCCAGGAAGTCCACCTGAACAATCAGAACATGGCGGCACTGCTCCACAGATTTGCAGTCCTCTTTCAGTCGTTTAGAGTTCAGTTGAGGAACTTGCGACACTTCTTGGCGCCGCAGTTGCAGGGTAGCTTGTTGCTGGCATCCTCGATGGGGAACTTGTAGTCGTAGGTGAGCTCTTCTCCACAGTAGATGCGTCGAGAGGCAAAGATGACGATGTGCTTCTGGCCGTCCACAGTGATGACCCGGGAGTAGCAGTTGGGCTCACAGGAGTGGTTGATGAAGCGGGCGGCGTTGCCATGCACAGTGGCATCCACCACCTCATAGTCATCGATGCGGAACATGTAACAGCCAATCCCCTTTGAAGAAAAAAAAAACAGAGGTTTAAGGTTTTATGAATGATATG